CATGGCGGCTCCTCCCCAACATGGCGGCTCCTCCCCAACATGGCGGCCCCTCCCCAACATGGCTGCCCAGCGCCATCTGCCCGCGCCGGATGGTGGGATGGGAGGAGGGGACGGGCGCTCTTCCGCTGGGGCGGGCCGGGTGGCGGCGTGGGGCCTCAGCTCTGTCCGGGGTACGGGGAGGGGATGGCGGGCTGCGTGCGTTGTGCGGTGGTGTCCGCGTGAGGGCATTGGTTCCCCCGCACCTCTGGGTGCTTTTACGCTCCGGAATCAACCGCGGTAACGAAGCCAAGCCAATGAACGAAAGGTTGTGGGCTTTGGATGGCCGCGTTCCGCGCTTTTCATCTGATGTGGTCTGATTGCTTCCCGCAGCGATGGCAGCCAGTCCCATCGTGACGTCTAAGCGGCGGGAGGAAGCGGTCCGCGGGGTCCGCACCGAGGTGGTTTGCACCGCGTTCTCCAACTCCATCCTCGTGGTGGTCACGCAGTACGGCAAGATGGGCACGCTCGTCTACGTGAACCCCGATACCATAGGGGACAACGTTGGCAGGCCTTCGCTCAGCACCAAAGTGCTGCTGGGCAAGGATGAGGTAGGAGCAGATGCGCAGCGCCCCGGCGCCGAGCGAAGGGGAAATGCTGTAGGTGGGGCCGTGCGAGTTGCCAGGGAGCTGATGAATCACAGCCGTTAAAGCGGTGTTTGCACGGCGGTCAAAGGGGTGTAAAAATCTGCTCTGGAGGAAGAGGGGCTCCTCTGAAAAACAGGCACGTCATCTGTTCTCCGGCAGCTTTGTGGGGCCGGTGCTTGGTGTCGTGCAGGGTGTGGGTTGCCTTGCTGTGTTTATGGAAGATTTGATACAGCTCGTGTTGCTTTAAAGGTTGCAGGATCAAACATATAGCCTCTGATAAGTTTTCCTGGCCTTCTGTTCCAACGATTTCTCCTTTTGGAGTCTCTTTTTTTTCCTCCCCCCAGCCTCCATCTCTGCCAGCCCCATAATGGACTTTAGATGCCCTCTCTGTGCGCCTGCCAACACCTGCCCTCGATAAAGTTTAATTTGTTTTTCTCCAACAAAATGAGTTTTTATCGACTGGTTTCACAGAGCCGGAGAGAAAGCAGAAGGAAACGTGTTTTGCAAAGTGTCAGCTGGTCAAGCATTAAAGCAAAAAGTTACAGAGCTACAGGTTTATGAGGCTTTCCATCAGGGTTGGGCTGTCAGATGTTACTTGCTCACCTTAACTAGAAAAGCTGTAACAACACGTAGGTTCTCCTTTCTGTGCCCCTCCATGCAGTTCTCCTTCCTCAACAAGTCTGCTTTCCCTGGGTGGGGGAAGCTTTGCTTTGCCTGGTTGACATGGCTGCTAATTCTGAGCAGTGGCACCTCTGAGCCATTTCTGTGTTTTATTTTGGAGATAGGAAGTGCCTTTTTTTACACCGTGTTTTTAAATCATGTGACCAACTTAATCAATTAACTTTAAGAAGACTTTAATTTGCTGACTTCTTGCTTGTTGCTATGAACATTTGAGACCATACATACTTCCAAGCTACACTGGCAGCTAAAGTCAAGCTAGCTCAGCCTTCTAAATGCGTAAGTATAGGTGTCAGTAAAACTTAGGCAAGTTGGATATTCTTCTTAAAGAAGTCTCACTAAGGAGACGATATTCCTTCTCTTCCCTGCTTCGGCCTCACCATTTATTTCTGGTTTTTATTATTCTGTTAAAATCAGAAACATTTTTTACATGTGCAAAGGCTGTGTGTAATACCAGTTTGAGGTCTCTAAGACTTAGGAAAACAAGACAGCTTACTTCCAGAGTTTGTCAGCAGAGCATGGTCTGGTCAGCAACAAGAATATGGTACTCAGGAATCTGGTTATGATAGGAATAGAGGCATTCTGATCATTTTATATAAGTTGGTATTTGGTGGTGTGGGAAGAATTGCAGCAGGGCTCTCAACAGCAGTTTCCCAAACACTCTGGCAGTGCAGAACTCCAGTGCAGCTGCAGTTCAGTTGTTTCAGGATGGGCTGTTGGGCAGCCGCTCACAGGTCTAAACTCTTCTATTTTAAGTCTGTTGAGAAAGTGCCTTCTCAATTATCCCATACCATGGCTTGGCTATGCTGGCCAGCCAAGCTGTGTGTCTGTTTCCAATCACTCTGGAACTGCTCAGCAAACTAATGCTCAGCATCCAGCACAGGCAGGTTCTCGACGTGCTCCACGAGCGAGTCATTGCAGGGCTCTTCCTCTGCTAACTCATGCAGGGTGACTTTGCAGCTGCGAGTGTACCTCTGTTTACCTTTGCTTTTCAGCCCCTCGTCCATGTTTGTGCCAAGAACCTGGTGGCATTCGTGTCTCAGGAAGCTGGGAACAAGCCTGTTCTTCTCGCTATGGCTTTGAAGGACAAGACCATGGAAGGAATACAAGCTCTACGGGAAGTGATCCGAAGTTGCCAAGTGTGGTGAAGTTGTACCATCTGGATTCAAGGAAATGATCTGGAGTCCATGACTCACCACCACTTCTTTGAGAGGACAAGAAATGAAAATGATGGAATGTCTTTGTGCTGGTTTTGGACACGCTTAGGAATGTGATGAATTTTTCTCTACTGTGTAGAATGGTTGTGGATTTTCTTCCTGTGACAGGTTTGCGGTCCAGATAGTTGGTGATGAGATGAGAACAGTTGCCTCAATAGACAAGGGAAATGTTATATTTTCACCTGGGGAGGGGTGTATATTTGGGAAACGTCACAGCTCTGCATTTGTGCCCGAGGAGTGATGGATGCCAAGCTCTGTAGCTACACTGCACCGCAAAGGGGAACACCCAGTGCAGAGTGAGTAAAAGAAACATTGATGAATCTAATTTTACATGGTTGGTTGGTTTTTTTTTCGCTCTGCAAAAATCACTTCAATTGAAATACAAGCCTCCGTAACAAATAAACAGCAATTGCATAATAGGAAAGATTTTTTTCTTGCCTGCTTTTCTTTTTTTTTAAGGGAATTACTTGTATATGACTACTTGTATCCTTATGTCATTTTCCTCCTGATGCGTGCTGAATCTGCTCTTCATTTTCAGTCGCGTTTTGAAGAGAGGTAGATAATTGCAGTGTTCCAATTTCATGAAAACTGATGACAGGATGGCAGAAAGGAACCCAAATTAATGAGAAAAAGGCAAAACATCGGTTGTTTCCGTATGATGTGTGGTAGTTGCACTTCAGAGAGACAGCATGTGCATTGCTCTGGGCCACCTGCAACAAGCTGCCCCTCTCCTGAAGCACTGTCAGAGCAGACATGGGGACAGAAGGGCTTTGGAGGTTACACAGCGGGGTGTTGGCTGAGTCCATTAAAAGAAAGTGCTCTTATGGGAGGTCAGATGAGTTAACGCAGTGCTGAACAGCCCAACTTGTGCTGTTTGCTCGGAAAGCACGTTTGTTTTTTCCTCTTCTTGGAACAGGTAGCACCAAGTAGTCAATTTTTAAGTAAGCTGTTGCACAGTTTTGTCACTTATGAACTTGACTGAGCAGACCAAGGCCAGGCCTTGCCTTCAGATTCAGGGCAGAGAATGCTGGTACCCGTCAGTGTCAGCAGAATCAGCACAGAGCCTGTCCGTTCCCCATGCAGATCCTATTGCTGGATCATTACTGTTGCTAAAAACAATCCCATAAAAGTACAAAAGCAGAAAATACATTTCGAAAGGACTTTTTCCTCTGAAGTAATGTTTTTTACAGCATTTTAAAGGATAATGAGAAATGAAACATTTTTTTAAGAGTACATTCAAAAACTGCAGGCTTGCAGCTGCCCTTGACAGAAATTTCATCTAAAAATAATTTTCCAAACTGTGCTTCCAAGAATCAAAAATTTGCATCTGTCAGAACTCCAAATTTTCCCTCTTTTACATTTCTTTTTTTTTTTTTCTTTTCTCTTTTTCTTTTCAGCCTAGGAGGGCTCACAGAGCCATGTGGAGTTTGTTAACGTTGATCTTTGCTAGTGGAGATCTCTTCCCAATCCAAAATGCAGTCTGTTTCCCGACCCCTGCTGCTCCTATGATGCCCTTTTAGCTCCAGTGAGTTTATAAACCATATATGAGTTGGCCAATTCAATGTAAACCGCATCTTCCACTGTGGTGATACGCTGCCTCACTGCTTCTGTGCCCTGAAAACCTCATGCATTAACACCTGAAAGCTGACCCTGGTTTACTACCATGCTTTCCTTGTTCTTTTTGCAACCAGGTCTGCACGCAGCGGTGAGCAAAGAAAGGACGTGGCATTCTCTTCTGTTTGATGCTCAGAGCCACAGCGTCTCATCTGGCTGCCTCTCTGCAGGCGATAAGTCAGACCACGAGCAGCTGGTCCTTCAGGTTTGCTCTGTTCTGCAGTAAACCAAGGGAAGGCCTGTCCCAAAAAACAGCCTCCCCAGCCTGGCTGCTTGTACAACCAGATGTCTGCCTTTTAGTCATCGCTATCCTCCAGGAGGAATTAATTCTCAATCGCAACAAGAACTGCTTTTGCCACCCAGGCAGCGTTCACCACAAACACAGGGCAGCAGCTCCGGAGCCTTCCAGCCCTGTTTGCTTTCCGGGTGTGAGTGCTAAACGGGGCAGACTGGAAAGGTACGTTCGGCAGCTTTTCTGCAGGATGTAAAGCCCTACCTGCTGCCCCAGCTGCTATGGGGAGGGCACAGAGGGCCGCTGCTGAGCCCCTTGGGGTGCAGCGAGGGAGGGCTGGCGGTGTCCTGCTGGGAAGGTGCCCGGAGGAGGAGTCTGTGCTGGAGGAGGGCGCAGGGGATGCAGAAGCAGGTGCACGGCGGGACGCAGCCACGGCCTGCAAGTGGAGGAGCCCTGCAGGGTGAGTGGGGCCTCGAGATCGGGGCACGATGACCGGCAGGGCGGAAGTTGGCCCCGTGCACCTGCGGGCGGTGGGGCAGAGCCCTTGGTATGGGCTTGACAGAGGGTTGGGTGCTGCTCTGCCTTGGTTATGTGTGCTATAGGTGCTTCCTCCTGGTGGTGTGGGGGTGGTATAGAGAGGCTGCTTGTAAACAGCCCCGAGCCGGGCTTTATCTGTATGCCATCAGCAGGAAAGGAGTGCCTGGTGCTGGCAGGACGCAGGCTGGCCGCTCCCATCCCTGGGTGCAGATCAGCCATCTCCCCTCACCAGCAGTGTGTGGCCTGGGCAGAGCGATCCTGCAGACAGCCTGCCCAAACCCAGCGCACTGTCCATGGTTTTCGGCTCAGCTTTCTTTGAGCACCTCCAGTATCCAGGGATTGAGCAGAGCGGGCAGTCGGAGCACAGCAGGTGTCTGCCCCGTGTCTAAGAGCTGCCTGTTGGGATGTGCCATCCTGTCGAGCTGAGTTTTGGGGCTATAATTACCCTCACACCTCCTGGCTGCCTTTGTTTTGGAAGCAAATGGGCCCTTGGCTGCATTGAGTTGCCCGGCTACGTTGCACGGCGGGGATCTGGTTACCTCTGGAGCTGGGAGCCCTGTCTCTGAGTGGCACTGGGGCTTTTGTTTTTAATGACTTGCTGCGACGCGTTAAGAGTTTTACAATGCAGGAGAGCCTGCCAGGAAGGCTGCTGGTGCCGAGCTGCTTGCTGCACAGCCGGGCTGTGAAAGCTAATAGGAGCTGGGACAGCTTGGGCCAAGCATCTGTGGCACGGCGCCGGGCTGAAGGCAGAATAAATGGGTCTGGAGCTGAACACAGCTCTCTGCCATGTCCCACAGAGCAAGCCTGATTGTGCTCTTCCTTAGCACAAAGCTTGAGGAGAGTGAAAACATCCAAACCTGACATAGGGCATCCCCAAAACAAGCTGTAGGGAAGGGTCTTGCCACAGAAGGGTCCCAACACGGCTTCCTCCCTCCTGCCTGTACCACTAGCTCTCCCTGGCCTCCTGTTAATGTTTACAAGGGCTGTCCAAAGAACAGATCCCTCCCCGGGATCCTGCTTCCTGCCGGCCTGGGCAGGGTGACGACAGCTGCACAAAGGAAAACCCTCAGCTCCTGCTGCCCGGAGAGCCCAACTGCAGCTGCAGGTACGCCCTGGGACCCGGCCACCAGCAGCACCCAGCACTGGGCATCTCCACTTACAGACAGCGGGAGGGATCCGGGGGAGGTATTTTTAGGGGTACTGATCTGATACCAGCCGAGTTTCCTCCCCTAGAGGTTGGGGTTTGTGGAGAGGGAGCTGCCAGGCGAGCTGGGCTTTGGGCTGTTTGCTATGTTCGAGGGGATCAAGGTTGTCCCCTACCACACTCATCTCTGCAGATATTTTCTTGCCTCTCACCATTCTGTAGTTACAGGTTTTCCTCTGGGTGATAGTTACCCAGCAGCTAAAATCTTTGTTTTTTAACAATGTGCTGAGGAGTGTCTACATTATTAGAGCTCTGCTTGCTGCTTTTTTTTTTTTTTTTTTTTTTTTAACTGCTGTTGTTATATGTGTGGAAAAAGCAGGTTTCCATAGATAGCTCAAAGAGAGGCCAAACATGGCAGTCTGTGCATCTGTTGGCCTTGAGATATGAAGCTGCCCTATAAATAAGAGTGTATTATTAGTTTGGTCCTTGCTGGCTGAGCTGCAGAGTGCTTTGTGCTGGGAATGCTGGGGTGAGAGTCTTTGAGGAAGGCAGAGCTGCCCATGAGGATGCTGCAGAGATGCAGGATGCTCCAGCATCCCCCAAACCCCACGCTGCTGCCTGGGCTGGCACACCAGGACCTTGAGATCATGAGATGGCTGAGGTTTGCTGCCTGGCTGAACGCCCTGGGTGATGCCAAACCTCCTTCTTCTGATGAACCCTGGAGCTGGCCACTAGCAGGTCACTCAGAAAGAAAGAAGCCAAATGTGGGGTGGACCACAAGGACCTCGGCGTTCTCTGGGCTCCCAGGATAATGATGTGAGCACATTGTCCATAGGGATGTCAGTATCCTGACAGCTTGTTGATAAGGGGATGGTTTTAATCATGGAATGAGGTGATATTGATGCTTAAGTCTCTGGTGCCCAGTGGGAGAGGTCCTGAGCTGCAGTTGAGAATACCTGAGAGCAAGAGTGTGGGCAGATCTTTTCGTTTCCTAAGGGATGGTGACCCCAGAGAAAACCAGAGGGAGTGCGACTGAGAGGAAGAAGTGTGTATTTTAGGGGATGTGGAGACTAGAGACACCTTGCAGACACAAGGGTCTGCTCTTGAACATTTGCATTTTCCTGCTGAGAAGCAGCCCTGACCATGGAGAATAGGCTGGCTTGGGAGAGGGCCACGCTGGGAAAGGCGTGGGGAGGAGAAAAGCTCACTGGAGATTTGTGGGCTGGGAAACTTGCTGGGATCTTCCCCCTCACCACTTCACCTCCATCCCACACCACTCCCCATGCCTCTCCCTCCCACAGATGAGTAATGCCACCCATGCTTGGCCCTCTCCTGCGGCGCCCAGCTCTCCAGGGCCGAGCACAGCTGCCAGGCTGGCCTCCGCCACCCCATCCTCAGCCCTCACCCTGCTCACAGCTGCTCACAACGACTCCAAGGATGGCCAGCAGCTCTTCCTGACCACAACAACAGCACGGGTCATCTCCGGCATCTTCGTGTGGTCAGCACTCATTGTCACCTTCCACCAGGTATGGACAGGATGGAGTCACAGCTCTGGGTCAGTGCTGGGGCAAAGCCATTGTTTCCCACCATCTCACTGCAAATCCTTACCTCCAGGTGGGTGTTTCCTCCTGCAGCTGGTGGAGGGGAAAATTCTGCATCGGGAGGGGTGGACTTTACCCTGTGGCTGCTGGAGCTGGGAGAGGCACAAGGCAGCACTCAGTGGGAGCTCATCTAGCACCGCACAGCCGTGCCTTTGGGCATGCAGCCTTGCAGCACCCCATCAGCAGGCACATTCTGCGATGCTGCACAGACACACAATGCTAGGGCTGCCCCAGAGCGAGCCACTGCCTCAGAGCAGCAAATTAAGCCCAGACTCATCAGTCCTAGCCACAGCTCTGCACAACGGGCACGCTCTCCCTTACAGATCTACACGCACCTGAGGAACTACACCATCCCCAAGGAGCAGCGCTACATCATCCGCATCCTTTTCATCGTGCCCATCTACGCCTTCGACTCATGGCTCAGCCTCCTGCTCCTTGGCAGCCACCAGTACTACGTCTACTTCGACTCAGTGCGCGACTGCTACGAGGGTGAGCACAGGGCAGCTACGTCAGCAGAGATGCTAACAGCACAGCAGGGCTCTCCTCTGCCCTGTGTCTCTGGAGCATCCTGGCTTGCACACAGTGCTGGATCCCCATTGTTTTTGCATTCAGCTCCCCCTGCCACCATTTGGAGCTTTCCCCCTTCCTGCTCCATCAGCAGGAGGGAGAGGAGGGCCACAGGGCACCTGCAGGCTCTGAGTGCCCAGCATCTGGCCACATTCCCAGGGGAAAGGATTTCTGCCTACCTTTGAGGTAGAAAAACTGTTTCTCCAAAGGAAAAGGCAGACTTACCTACAAAATCAGGCAGTTGGGATGTTTTGAGGCGCAGAGAAAGCTTGTGAGTTGAGTTTAATGTCCTTCCATGAAGGTCTTTGGCCATCGCACTCCTCCTGCACATGCTCAGATGTGCATCCTTGGGTGCTGCCAGTACATCCTATGCCCAACACATTCTGTGCATGCAGGGGTTGTGTGTGCATGGTGGAGCTGCTGTGTCTGCAGCAAAACACATTTACTCTGTAGATGTGGCACAGTGCATCTGGCTCAGGTGTACTGAACCTGCTGGTGGCCTTCTACACACCCATGCCATTGTCCCAAACCCTGATAACGTGCTGGGTGGATGAGGAAACATCTGAGCAGGAAGAGAAGTGAAATTTAAGCCCCCCCCCCGATCTCTACCACCAGCTCTGCTGACCATGTCTGCTCTTTCCTTGCCAGCTTTTGTGATTTACAGCTTTCTGAGCCTGTGCTTTGAGTACCTCGGTGGGGAGAGCACCATCATGACTGAGATCCGAGGGAAACCCATTGCGTAAGTGGTGGCACACCACCAACTCCTCAGCCCTCTGCTTGTTTTCCCCATCCTGTTGCCCAACAGCATCTCCTTGGCTTTTGCTTCCAGGTCTAGCTGCTTGTACGGGACCTGCTGCCTCCAGGGCATGTCCTACTCCATTGGCTTCCTGCGCTTCTGTAAGCAGGTGGGTACCCAGCGGGGAGCACTGCAACACCCCTCCACAGCAAGGGGTGGGGGCTCTTGGGGCTGTGTTGCAGTGGGTCCCTTACCCAAAGGCAAATCTCACCCAGATGCTCATTATTTTTCTCTCTGTCGGCACCTGGCCAGCAGCAGGGCGCTGCGCTTGCTGTCCTTGCTCTGACTCACTGCTGAGTCAGGGTCCCCTCCCACTGCAGCTCTGAGATTTTTATCTCTGCCTACTCTCAGGTTGGCTGGCCGGCTCCCTGACTGCCCAGTGCTGTGCTGCAGGCTGGAGGCACCGTTCTGTCCCCGAGCCACCCCCTCCTCGGAGTGGCTATGCTGATTTTTGGGAGCGCTCAGGGTGCACAGCCTTGCTCCCTCCTGTCTGCTGGTCCAGATCATTCCTGCAATGGAGAAGCACTTGCTCCTCCATCCCAGTAGCAGAGAGTTGGCTGTGATGGGGCTCGGGGAGCAGGAGGTTGCTACCGCCCTGTTCATGGTGTTTCTCCCCTGTGCAGGCCACGCTTCAGTTCTGCATTGTGAAACCCCTCATGGCAATTGTCACCATCATCCTGCAGGCGTTTGGGAAGTACCACGACGGGGACTTCAAGTGAGGATGCTGGGTGGGGCTGAGAGGAGTGCATCTCCTGGGGGAAGGGGACTGGGTGGTCCCTGCTCCATCAGAGGGGATGGGGGACCTGCTGGCCTTCCCCAGGTAGCGAGACCACACGGAGCCCAAGAACAGCCCCACTATCCCCAGGCAAGATTCGAAGCAAACACCCAAGGGCCAAAATACAAAAGTGACAGCAGCCTCTGTTCCCCCTCCTACCCTTCCACAGCTGGGCTGGGCTGGGCTGCCCCCCACGGCACAGCCGTGCACATTCCCCACAGTCCCCTCTCCTCTCCTTCCTTCTTTGCCCCCAGCTGTGTTCACTCAGCAGCTTGCTCTCCCCCCGCAGTGTCCGAAGCGGCTATCTCTACATCACCATCATCTACAACTTCTCTGTCAGCCTGGCTCTTTATGCCCTCTTCCTCTTCTACTTTGCCACCATGGACCTGCTGCGCCCTTTTGAGCCGGTCCTCAAGTTCATCACCATCAAGGCTGTCATTTTCCTCTCCTTCTGGCAAGGTGAGTCCCAGCCTTCTTGCAGCACCATGCAGCCCAGGGGGGTGGTCCGGAGCTGATCCCTCTCCTTTCCCCTGCACAGGGACACTGCTGGCAATCCTGGAGAAATGCGGGGTGATCCCCGAAGTTCAGATCATCGATGGGAAGGAGGTGGGGGCTGGGACTGTGGCTGCTGGATACCAGAACTTCATCATCTGCATTGAGATGCTCTTTGCTTCCATTGCGCTGCGCTACGCTTTTAGCTGCCGGGTGTACAGAGAGAAGAAAGAAAACTCAACAGGTAACCGTTCCTCTTTCCTGCCTTCTTTCACCAATGGGTAGGGAAAAGACAACCTATTGCAGCACTACAATGGAATGGTAAAAAACAGTAAAGGAGCCTCCTCCTGTGCTCCGTGAGTTTCTTCTTCCTCTACTGCTTGTGACAGGAGAAGATACCTTGGTGTGGACAGGCAGAATTAGGGCATTTTGGTATTACAGCACGCACACACAGCTGGAGAGGATCCACCCTCTTCGAAACATAGGGCTGGATTTGCCTTCCTCCTCCTCGGTGCTCACCACTGTAAGCTCCCTTGTCCCACAGTGAGACGTGGCCCACAGTGAGGCCACGATTTTGAATTTGTAGGGAAATATATCACTGCAGTGTTAAAGCACTCAGGCTATTGGCCATCTGATGCCCCATCACTTCCTGCTCTGTTTTTCAGCAAACCTTGCCCCGATGCAGAGCATCTCGAGTGGGCTGAAGGAGACGATGAGCCCGCAGGACATCGTGCAGGATGCCATCCACAACTTCTCGCCCACCTACCAGCAGTACACCCAGCAGGCCATGCAGGAGGCAGAGCGCAAGGCGCCGGACGAGAACGGGCACGTGGCCTGCAGGGCAGAGGGAGCAGGAGGCAGGAAGAGCAAAAACATCGAGAAGAGAGTGCTGATCCTGTCGGAGGAGGAGCTGTAGGAGATATCCAAGGGGACAGAGACATTGGAGGGGCTTAAATGCAAGGAAGGGGAGACTCTCGAGGCTGTGACAACCTGGTCCTGTTGGCATGCTGGAAGGAGGAGAGCCAGGAACTCTACTCATAAAGCCAGTTCCTAAAAGGGAAGATGCAATAACCAGGGAAAGGTTAAAATAGTGCCAGCTTCTGACTCATCTCCGAGGTGTTAGGGACTGTGCTCTCTGCTTCACTGCCAGTCTCGGTGCCAGCCCTGTGCCCATACCCCTGCTGGGCTCCCAGTGAGCCAGGATCGCCCCAGTGCTGTTGGGCAGACTGGCCTCCTCACCCTGCTCTTACCTCCAAACAGCACCGAGGCCTGACAAAAATGCTTTTCTCAGCACAGTTCTGCTCTACTTTCTCCTGATTTGGGTAAAAAAAAGATCTCCAGGGCCCCATGGAGAAAAGCAGTGCAGGAAGGTGACTTCAATTCGCCTCAAAACCTGGTAAAATTTGAAAGACATCATGCCTTATTTTTATGTTTTCCTCTCTACTTCCCTTCAAAAAGCCCACAGAGCTGTACAGGAGCCCTTTACCAGGAGGAAGAGCAGCTCATCCTCCTCAGCCTCCAGATGGGGATGCAGCTGCTGGACCAGATCTCCTGGGATCAGAAGTGGGACCCCTCCTGGACCTCACCGCACGGTCCTGCAGCTGCATTCCTGAAAGCTGCAGTGACAGAGGAGCTTGTTTATGTCTGAACCCATTTATCTGCAAGCGGATCAGGAGTTAAAAGGGATTCCAGCTTTCTTATCAGAGCCATTAGGGAACCAGACTGTGACTGGTGGTGGTAGGAATGCACCGAAAGGGAACTGTCTGTTCCTCCTAACTCCTCTCCATCCCCTGTCCCTACCCTGCATGCAAGAAGCAAGTGCTGCAAGACCAGAATCAGCGGACGCTGGAGGCCCTGGGGAACTCAGCTGCGTTGAGGGCTGTGTGAGCCATTTCCCAGAGCACCACAGCATCCCACCAATCCATCACCCTGCCTGGGCTCTGAGAAGGCACGTGGGGCTGAGCCACTGAGACAGATTTTCTCTGTCCTGCTAAACTTCCTCTCCAGTTTTATTTTCTCCTATTTCTGTTCCCCTGCTGTTAATCAGATGATCCCCTTGGGAACTTCTTCGGGCACCAGCCAGCTGTTGGCTGGGGTGGGAGCTGGGCAGTGGAAGGACAGGGGCAAGTCTGGAGCCTTTGATTTGCAGTCACATGGCAAACAAGCCTATGGGTGAGGCTTATAGCTGTTTTACAGCTCCTAGTATTGTTTTATTCCCTGCTCTTGAGCTGCAAAGTGTAAATTGCAAGAGGGAATTATTTATGATTTTTTTTTCTAATAAACAGCAATTTCTACCATGGGCTGAATGAGCGTTTTCACTTAGCTCAGCGAGCAGAGCCCGCACTCTGCCCGCTCCTGCTCTAATGCTGATGCTCTTAAGCTGCACGTCCTTCCTGCCCCTTGGTGCTGGCCCAGCAGAAATACCTGCACACACAGCATCCTCCACACTCCGATGTTCCCACAGGGCTCGCGCTCATCCCTCTCCCTCCACAAGCAGTGCGTCCCCCCCATGCACTGCACCTCCTCCAAAGCTGTGGATGCAGCAGTTCCGAGCTGCTGGGTCCTCTGCAGCCTAGCCAAGCCCAGCAGCAACAACACAAATCTATGTATTATTATCAGAAGTATTTTATCATGCTGGAAACGTGGAGCCAACACAGGCAGGCTATGGCTGAGCCAGTCTTGCAAGCCCTCTGCTCTGGAGATCTGCTGCCTGTACCTGCCCAGCCCGTGAGGTTGCTGTGTTTTGTGTCAGCTGGCCTGTGAACAAGAGCCGAGCAATTGGTACATCCAGGGAGCTGCCACCAATAAGGCTTAACTTGGGTGCAAGCCTGACAGGGAAGCAGGACCACATCTCAGCAAACATCTCCATCTTCTGAGCCCCTCTGTGCTGCAGCTGCAGGGACAGAAGCAGCTTCACCCCCTGGGTGAGGACAGACTGTGAGGTGATGATGGGGCATCTGCCAGCGTGCTTGTGGGATGCAGACTGGCATAAGAACACAGTAAGAAGCGCGGCTGTACTTCATTGCACAAATGATCAACTCCAGCACATAATGGGCTGCATTCATTGCTCTTGCCAGCAGGTGCAATTCCCACTGCAGACGGTAACAACTGCCTATTTATGTCAAGTCCTGATTACTGTATTATATGTAAAACAGGTCTTTCTCACAAGCAAAACACTGAGGGGAAAAAAAAAGCACCAAACCAGCTGTGGTGCACCCAAGCCTGCAGAACGATGCTGGCCCCAAGGAGTGCACTGCTATGGCCTGGGCCCTCAGCCTGCAAGGCTCAGAGCTCAGAACGCCCCAACGGGTGCCGAAATACCAACGGTGTCCTTGGCAGAACGTGTCCTCCTGCATGGTGCTGCTCCATCCCTGGGATGGGCACGATGTCCCACCTCCCTCTGCCATCACCAGCTCCTCGCTGTCCTCTCCATGGGCAGGAGCTGAAGCAGGGGACGGTGACCTTCACAAGCTTGCTCCTCACAGCACCAGCAATCCCCTGGCTCGCCCTGCATCCCCACTCCATGCCCAGGAGCCAGGTGAGGAGGCAGCCAGCCCCACCTGTAGCACTGCACGTCACCAGTCCCACTGCTCATCCATACACTGCCCTACTTCCGTCATTGGCCACCTCTACGCGACACGCTGCCTTGGCCCAGCACAGTGCACGTTTCCCCCTTTTTAGCTGCCCCTAGAAACAAGGGCTGCCCATGGAAGGGGATCAAAGCCCAGGTGGTTCCCAGCTCTCCCACTGCTTTAAAGCTTGGATGAAGCGACAGGGCAAAAGAGAACGATGAAATATCGATCGAAGGAGTTAAAGCTGTTTATTCACCAGCAGTTGCACAGGAAGCAACTGAGGGATATTTCATAACTCCACGGCGAGGGGAGCGGCTCCCTCCAGCACCGTGACCTGTTTCACAGCACGAGGTCTCCAAGCCAAGTCCCACGGGGCGCTCCCAGCACCGCCACCGCGGCAGCTCCCACGTGCTCTGGGCAGAGAGCACAAACACACACCAGGAAACACGATAAGCGTGAGCCCTGGGGGAGCAGCAGCTCGGACCAGAGCACGGCCCAAACACATGGGAACAGCAGCACAGCAGGGCTGGGAGGCGGTCAGGCTCAGGTGCTTGCAGGAGCATCCACGCTCAGCCTGCGTCCCAAAACCACCGCAGCCAGCTGCTCAAGGTGATGAGCAAGGAAAACGCCCCTGAAAATCAATGCGAGCTCCAAAACGCTGACCATACACCAGGGCAAGTCTGAAACCAGAAAATGCTTTATTGGAAAGGTACAAAAAAACCAGTCACTGCAGCTAAATTTACAGCAATAAATTACGTTGTGGCTGTCAAGAGAAAGTAATGGACACATACACAGGGCTACTCGCCTTACAAACAGGAATCCACATTGCTTGGTATATCAATAATTTATTTTATAATAAAAAAGCAGCACAAAAATAAATATTGAAATGAAATTACTGAGTAACCACAGAGGATAGAATGAGCTGGTGATAAAAAAAAAAAAAACAAAAAAACAAAACAAAAAAAAAACTTAAAACAGAAGACTTCTATCATTAAAAAAAATGAAAGCAAGTATCCACCATCTACGGAAACACCCCAGCAGACTGAAATACAGACGAAGGAAAACAAATCCACGTTACAAAAGTTTTTCGGTTTTTTTTTTGTTTTTTTTTTTTTTTTCCTTTTTGTTTGTTTCTTTGTCTTAAATAAAAACAATCATGACGACAAAGTTTAAATGATTTGAGAGAGGAAGAAATAAAATAAAATAAATGCCACTTTCTCCTCCTCCCCGGGTCCGAGCCGTGCCGCAGCCCAGCCCTGCTGCGCTGTCAGCCGGGGCACCGCGGTCTCCTCCATCAGATGGCAGAGCTGGGCGAGAGCTGAGATGCTGACTTGCTGTGGGGGGGGTCTGAAGGTGCCCTGGAGGGAAAGGTTTCCCCACTGCCACTGGAGAGCTCAGCAAAGACACCTAAGAGACCAAGGATGTCGCTCCCGGCGCTGCCCCAAGGTACCCGGGTGGATGCATCGGGCCGTTTCCAGCATCCCAAGGTACCCACATCGTGCTGCAGAGGGGGAAGAATGGCCGGGGGAAGAGCATCCCAGCGCTTGGCCTCAGTGCCCCTGCACCTCGGGGAACAAGGAGGGGCAGAGAAGGGAGCCCAGCATCCAAAATACCGCAGCGAATGGAGGCGGCAGGGAGCACCCGGTGACCCCGCAGCAGCAGCCGGCTCCCTGCGCCACGCTCAGCCTGGGTTCAGGCTTGCAAGGGCAGGACGGAGAGAAACGAAACAGAATAACAACAACAACAAAAAGAAACGAACGGAAACAAACCAAACCCCAGAGGAATGCAATGCGACAACCCCAAGCTGGAGGGCCCTCCGGGGCGGAGGGTGGAGGAGTTGGGTCTCCATGGTGGTCAACAGCTTTCGGGTCATTCCTCCCTCCACGTTACCTTGCAATTCTGATCCCTCTGTGGAAGTTTAGCCAGGACATTTCATTCCCCTCCAGGTCACCACCCAGGGAGGGAGCCCTGGACCGGCGATTTCTTTTAATAAAGATTTACAGTATCAAACTTGGAAAAAAAATTATCTTTTTTTTTTTCTTTTTTTACGAAAAATCTGTACGATAAAATGTATATAATTATATATTTATATATATATTTCTCTCTCTTTAAATATTTCCACGTGGTCCTTATGGATATCCAATATGGATTACCTACCATGGCTATGGTATCAACAGCTTTAACAACACCCAGGCCTCTTGTTCTTAACCGAGTGACCAGAGATTGAAGTGCCTACCAGCACCAAACTAGCAATCACTTGGACAAGCCTTTGGCACCCTTCTAAGAACTGGAAAAAACAAAACAAAAAAAAAAAAACAAGAAATACTTGGCCACAAGGGAAGCGCCACATCTTAAAGATATGTTTCTCAACAGCAAGAAGACCCCACAGACCAAAGCTCAACCTCCATCCCCCTCCGTGTCGCTGGTCTGATTTCCCTGGCAGGGGCCAAGGGCAGCCCGAGGGTGTTCCTATCAAGCCAGCAATGTTATGGAGCTCTGGAGCTGTTCTAAAGACTGGAAGCATTTGGGCATTTACGAGTCAACTGGCCTTTTTTTCGTTAAAGTTTTCATTTAAAGCCCCAACAGTGCCAGGAGTCTCCATTTTTGCCTGTTTTCGGAGGCACCTGTAAGGTCTGGGAAAGTTTCCAATGTTTGTGAGCTGGAGAACATGAGAGGACCAGGAAATGACAGTAACATTTTTCTCTTCCTCAGCTTCTGCTGTGGGAGTCAATAACTGGTACTGATACACAGGACATCAATCTGCCCGTTAGGAGATAGGGAGGGAGTGGAGGAGAAATGAGGTAACGCTAAGTGTCATCCAAACTCTGCGCGTTGGAAAATCACTTGAAGGAAACTCCCTGCTCCCCTCCGGCACACGCGGCTCTGGCAGGGGTAAGAAGCCTTCAGGAGGAGGCTCACCTGCCCCTTTCCAGCTCTGTAAGGTCATGAGCACAGGTGTCGAGGACTGAACAAGAACCGAGGCTGAGGCTCCTCTTTTCATTAACCTATTTCACAAAGGACCCTCTCTTGGGAATCCGGAGACTCCAATGACAAGGTGGGAAGGAAAAAAAAAAAGAAAAAGCAAGCTAACTTCTTCCAAAGGCAAAGAGGGCTCCACTGGAAGCCTACCAACGTACTGCCCCCAAACAACGGATCGCACAGGGCGGATGCCAGCATACTGTCTCCTCTGCAACAGCGGCGGCACTCGATTAGCTCTCTTTCAGTCCAAAACACTGGTGAACTGCCCACCATCTCTGGCTTCTATTCCAGAGCCCAAGTCCTCCAAGCTCTGCTCCTCACCTCATCCATCAGCAGTCTCATTCTCTTCTCACCTGCACGACAACAGGCATCGTCCATCCCACAAGTCTCTGCCCTGCAAAACTCACAGGCCCTTTTTCTTTCCTACTTCAAACAGAAAATTAAAAATAAAACACAACAGAACACACAAACACCAACATAGCTATTTTTTTTTTACAGTGACCTGGACACATTCATCTTTTCAGCGCTGCTGTGTGACAGCAGAATTCCTCCTCTTGGCTTCCCACTTCCTGCCCATCGCCGGGCCAGAAATCCCTCTCCCAAACCACTGCTCAGAGCCACACGCACGACTTCTCGGTGCCAACTCTTCCATTCCCTACGCACACGGATTTCCACCCTGCCCTCTGCGCGTCTCCTGGGGCAGTTCACACATTCCCAAGAGGAAGCGTCAAGTTTCGG